TGAAGGATATCACCAAGATCAAAAAACGCAGCGAAGGGTCTTGCTTGGCATTCACAAACATGAACAACTGGTCTAAATGCTCTGAGTCGATTGGCAACCAGAGTAGCTGGATCGTTTGGTCGATCTTGCGCAGGACCAGGTGTCGAGCCTCTCCAATTCGCATCCCGTAGAATTGATCAAAGCGAAGGGCTAAGCTTGACAATGTGCAGACAAAGGATTCATGAGACTCTGTGATGTCTGGTCTAACGCTCTGTCGGGACCAGTGAGTTTGGATCTGTTGCCTGTGCTGCGCGACAGGGAATTTGGCTACTCGTCTGGTTCCCCCCACACGGAAAGAATCTCGTCTGAATGTTTGAAGCATCTCACGCAAGAAATGAGCACGAGTAGCAAACGCAAACAAGATTAGCGTGTGGTCTTGTGTTACAGTCTGCCAACGCTGCATTGCGTTTTCCCCAATGTATTGTATCACTGAGTTGCAAGCACAGTTTTGCAGAAATGACACCGCGGAATCAGCAAAAGGGATCATGGTGCATCCTTCACTCTGCAAGAAATGCCACAAAACTGCAAAACCACACGTATCTTCTGGTGATTCATGAGCCATGAAAAAAGCTTGAAGCGAATGCATTTGGAGGCCTAGCATGTGACAAATTTGATGTAAGAGTGCGTTCAGTTCACGCACATGCATTTCCGGACATCCAAAGAAACGTGCTCGAAAGTGGGTGTGTAATCGGTCAATTCGAACAAGGAACCAATGCAAGCGTGTCTCAACAAGCAGAACAATCGATGTGGCTAGATCATAGCATACGTGTGCACCAGAGATGGACCAAAGGAGTTGCTGCTCTGCGTCCCATGACAAACATGGAAGGATAACGACATGTTGCAGGAAAGGCTGGTAGATCCGAGCAACGCACTCCAATTCATCGGATCCTGCCCAACTTGGTTGCAAACACATCGATTGAAGCCTCTGCCAAATGTGCGGGGGAATATCACTCTGCATAATTCGATCCTGTGCAAAGATGCCATGAAGCACCACCTCGGTCTGGCATCCGGCATCTTGGTTATTATGGACTTCATGGCTTTCTGGGGCAGCATCTGCGCTCGTGCTCGGTTGGGTCTCATGTTGTGGGTTGGGCCCTGAAGGCACAGAAGGTGTGATATCGGTTGGCCAAATGCCAGGATCCCCAAAGACTTCAAGAGGCTGTCCTGCTGCGCTAATGGCCAAAGAGTCTGACCTTGAGTGGATGCCTGCATCGAATTGGAACAAATGGACCAAGAAGGACAAGCGCAAGGTATAGGCCACCTGTTGAAGGGTCTCACTAGCACCGGTTAATGCCCAAGACTCGATGGATGATTGCAGCGCCCGGTGACCTGCTTGTTCCTCTGCAAAGGACCTATGCCCTTGCCGTAAGTAGCACCCAAAGAGGGAGATTGCCTGCATAATGGTTGGGTCAAGCAGCGGGCCCAAGCGCAGCCACCTACAGAGACCAACCATGAGGTGTTGCGGGAACCAATGCCGCTGCAGCAAAAATCTGCCATTGCATGGTACAGCAGCTTGAGAAGTTTGGGCGAGAAGAAACGTTGCGTCTGCGAGTAGTAGAAAAGGCTCAGTGAAAAGGTGTTGAAATAAATAATCTTCATGTGAATGCCAAAGTTGGCCCGATTGGCAGCAGCAAGCCTCGTACGGAATTTAGCAAGCTGTTTTGACAGCAAAGTGACGAGAGATGTTTGCAGCTGCACTTTGACCATGGTCTCATTCATCAGTTGACATGTCCACCCTGTATGGATCGTTAGACCAAGATTGACAGTTGACGGCACCTTGGTCCAGACAATATAGTTGCTCTGCAGTGTAACTGACATTTGTGAGCAGTTGCGTTTTTGATCGCGTTTAAGTTTGTTTGTGAAAGATTTGGAACCTGGCGGTGGTACAACATTTTGTTTTCTCAATTGTTTGAAAGCGACTTGTAGCGTAGTTGGAAGTTTTGAAAGAGTTCTTTGTGTGTGGAGATGCTTTAAGATATGCACGTCGCTTTGTCCTTAGACACGGTGACCACTGCATACACATGGCTTCAGACGCCATTCCTAGACTAGTAACTGAAGGGCACCCCATGCTTTGCCGTTTGGCAGCTAGGCCAGCACGCTGGCTGCCATTGTCCAGATGGCAAAGCCAGCACGCTGGCTGCCATCATAGTTGAAGTG